GCTGACTGATGCAGCAGCCAAACCACTTGCTCACAACTTTAATGCCGGGAGCTCACAAAGTAGAAGGCTACCCCTCCGGGGGGGGGGGGCAAAAAGACAACAACAAAGTAGAAGGCTCACGAGACTCCACAGCTTAGGGAGAGCATTGCCTGGAAGCTGTTCTCTCCGACCTGCCGAGAGTGCCTTTGTTTGGCAAAGGGCAGGTCAGAGTGAGGCCTGCGTGGAGGAGCCCTCTGGGGGCTGCAGCCTCCCCCCAAAAAATTTGGTCTTCAGCTGCAGGCTGAAAGGAAGGGAGAAGAGAGAACTTTGCGCTTAACCAGCCCTTCCCTTCATTCTGGGCAGCTCTGGTTTTAGGTTTTTAGATTAATCAGCACTCCTTGGGGGGGGGGGGGAGGCAGGGGAGGGAAGCCTCCCCCCCCACCGGCCAGGATCTCTGACTTCTTGACAAAATCCTTCCCAAACAAGCTATAAGAGCAGCGGCAAGGCGAAGTCTGCTATGACGGCCCCTTCCTGAGCGGGTAATAGCCAAACTCCCCCCCCCCCGCTGCACACCACACATATTTAGAAAAGGCATAGGGAGACCGCCATGAGAGCCGGCATGGCACGGTGGATAAATGGTCAGACTGGGATCCAAGAAGAACTGCGTTCGAATCCTCGCTTCTTCCATGGAAGCTGGCTGGCGGGCCCGTCAGTTTCCCGGCCTGGCCTACCCCACAGGGCTGTTTTGAGAAAGTGGAGGATAGAGAGGATTCTTGCCCCGGGAATGGTTCAGGGCTTTCCAGTATCCGGGTACGTCTGCAGACAAGCAGTCAAGTAGCTGGCTTTTCCGGTCCTTTGGACTGACGGAGGAGACGGCCCTTGAGAAACCGGACCCTCTTCTCCCACTTTGGAATGCCGGCTCTTGTCCTGGGCATCATCCAGGCATTTCACAGCCAATTTAACCCCATGATGGAAGGTGTCTGCAGTTTTAAGTGCTCCGCAGTGGTAGACGGCAAGACGTCCTGTCTGCGCCTTGTTCAGTTGCCGGGGGTGGGTGGGGGGCTTAACTCTGAGTTTGTGCGAGCTAGCTCACAGTTTTTCAGCCTCTGGCTCACACATTTTTGTCTTAGCTCGGTAAGGAGGGCTCTAGAGCAAAGTAATTCATGTGGTAGCCACATCGCCTGCTCACAGCTTTAATGCCAGGAGCTCACCAAAGCTGAACATTTGCTCCCAAGACTCCACAGCTTAAGAGGGAGCATGGGTCCCCACTGCAATAAACGCAAATGCAAATCCATGTCTTTCCGGGGGAGGCGGCAGCATCCCTCCCTGCCTCCCCCTGCGGCACAGCACCCCCCCCCCAAAAAAAGGGCTCCAGTTGCCCCTTAAGACAAGGCAGGCTCAACCCCCGCAACTGAACAAGGCCCAGACAGGACGTCTTGCCTTCTCCGCCGCCAAGCACTTAAAACTGCAGACACCTTTCATCCTGGGGTTAAATTGGCTGTGAAATGCCTGGATGATGCCCAGGACAAAAGCAGGCACTCCAAAGTGGAGAAAAGGGTCCGGTTTCTCAAGGGCCGTCTCCTCCGTCAGTCCAAAGGACTGGAAAGCCTGCTTGTCTGCAGAAGTACCCGGATACTGGAAAGCCCTGAACCATTCCCGGGGCAATAATCCTCTCTATGTGTTGCGGAAAGAATCCAAGCGCAAGGGAGGCAGCCGGAGCAGAGAGGGGTGTGAGCCAGGAGGCCGCAGCCTTTGGGGCAGCAGCCCTCCACTGGATGGCAGGACCCCGTGGCCCGTCTGCAGCAAACCGATACCAGAGAAATAGAGGGGAATCTGCCTCCTAGCCACTTTTAGGAGGAGGAGGAGGAGGATTGGATTTATACCCCACCCTTCACATGGATTCATCCTGGGGTTAAATTGGCTGTGAAATGCCTGGATGATGCCCAGGACAAAAGCAGGCACTCCAAAGTGGAGAAAAGGGTCCGGTTTCTCAAGGGCCGTCTCCTCCGTCAGTCCAAAGGACTGGAAAGCCTGCTTGTCTGCAGAAGTACCCGGATACTGGAAAGCCCTGAACCATTCCCGGGGCAATAATCCTCTCTATGTGTTGCGGAAAGAATCCAAGCGCAAGGGAGGCAGCCGGAGCAGAGAGGGGTGTGAGCCAGGAGGCCGCAGCCTTTGGGGCAGCAGCCCTCCACTGGATGGCAGGACCCCGTGGCCTGTCTGCAGCAAACCGATACCAGAGAAATAGAGGGGAATCTGCCTCCTAGCCACTTTTAGGAGGAGGAGGAGGAGATTGGATTTATACCCCACCCTTCACATGGAGTCTCAGAGCGCCTTACGGACTCCTCTCCCTTCCCCTCCCCACAACAGACAGACACCCTGTGAGGTCGGTGGGGCTGAGAGAGCTCTGACAGAAACTCCTCTTTTTCAAGGGGGGGGTCTTTCACAAGGGAATCCCCCCAGCCTCCGGCTGCTGCTGCTGCTTGTCCAGCCAGCTCACATTTGTGGGGAGTCAAAGGCCAAAGCGGAATTGCCCCCAATGATGCCTGCTGCCCAGGAGTTCCAGATTCAGCTGTCAAAAACCCTCAGCGAGACAAATGAAAAGACGAACATTACCGGGTGGGTGGGATTTATTCGCTTCCCCTAAACTCTGCTTTTCTCCTCAGCGGGAGCCCCACCTGGGCCGGCCTCCGTCTCCTCTCCTCCACCTGATCCTCCCAACAACCACCCTGCGAGGTAGGCTAGGCTGAGCGGTGTGTGTGTGACTGGCCCCAGGTCGCCAAGCCAGCTTTCAGGGCAGAGACGGGGTGTGAACTGGAGTCTCCCGGATTCTAATCAATATTCTGACCACCACACCAAACAGCTTGTCCTTTGGGGGAGGCCACAGCCCCCCACCCCCGAATGCTGTAACTCGGGATTCCTTCCACGGGGGAGGAGGGGGGGTCAGCCCCTTCTGATACTGGGACTTCCCCACAAGACCACTCATGCCAACGAAATGAGAAGCTTGCCAAGGGCCACAAGGGAGGGTTCCTTGGCCCACCCCAGGGTGCGGTCAAGCCAAGCTCAGGCCCAATGCCTTAACCGGCTCAGGCCTAACTTTCGTTTCCCTTTTGTTTCCCCTTCACTTTGCTTGTCATGTTAAATTCCTGGGGTGTGCTGTGGTGTAGGAGTGTGTGGAATAGTAGCCATAAACACTTCTCAAGTTGTGTCCTGAGAGTTGGTTCTCATGAGATTGACCCTGGAGACTCTCTGTGCTTAGCCTAGCCAGGGGTCATTTCCTGCAGGAGCACACAGGAGTGGAGCTCCGGCAGCAAGGAGTCCAGGGGGCGGGCACATGAAACAAGCCCCACCCCCTGAAGCCCTCAGTCGGGCCACAAGGAGCAAGAAGCAGCCAGGTAAGTTTCAGAGCCCCCCCCCCCCGTCCACCTTTAGGTACCAGCTCTCCCTTCTC